TGCTTGCTTGCTTGCTGCCCATTGTAACTCTGGGCAGATTAATCGGCTGCACTGAAAGCTGGTTATTTAGCATAGCAGACAGATGGAGGAGATGCTGGGAACAACGTGTTTGTTTCCTAGTTATGTGCTTTCTGATCATTGTGATTCCTGCTTCGCTTTGGATTGACATCCTGCCTTGATTTGGATTGTGCCTTGGAAACTCTGGACTTTTGTTGTCTCATGAATTCTCTTGTATTGTGGATTTAAATTTGTCTGGTGGATTTATTTTGATTGAGAAATTTTCAAGTGCCTTGTGGACTCTTTGGTCAGTGCTCTGTAGACTAGCATTGGTCTGCTCATGGCTGGACTTAACTGGGACAGTTCTGGGTTTTTTGGTGAAGGGAATTATTGGGGAATATTAATAAACTTACTAAAACACAGTTATGTGTGTGTGAGAGTGAGCGGGACAGTACAGTAGCTCAAATTTTACTGATTTTAAGTAGTTAGCTATGGAGAAAATATAACAATGTGAAAAATTAATAATCAGTGTGAAAACCTAATAACTAAATGCTTGGTTGCAATTGTTGCAGCTAAAAGTAGTACAATTAGTTACTGAATATAAGAGAATGTGTGCTTTTTTTGACCTGTGGATGAATTCATTTATGGAATAGATGAAAGTAGCACCAAATTGAGTTGTTGATTTATTCAAACTGTCTCCATATATTATTGTCCCATATGAGTCTTTTGCTAAAATTCAGTGGTAAAGATACATAAAATTAATAGAATTCAAAAGGGGGCAGTTTTTCACAGAAATATACATACTGAATATTTCAGTCCTTGAAAAAGTAATTATTAAATAATTAAATTTGTAGATTCATTTGAGTAAACAAGATAGAATATTAAAATATGAATCAAAGACAGAATTGAATAGATTATAATTTATTTTCCACAAGAACCTAGTAATAAATTTAAATTGAGAAAGTTTCCTAGGAATTTTTTAAAAAACAAAACAGTCTCCATGCTGTTTAAAACTGTGGAGCTTAAATTATTAGAGCTAGAATTATTAGAGCTTAAACAATGCAATTATTACATAATTATTACTAGAACACGATAGCATTATCTGACTTTTTCTAGTTTAAAGAAAAATCAAAGCACCAAACCAATATGTTAAAATGAGATAAGTAATAGATATTGCTGTTATACCTACAAAACTAAGTTCTTACATTTTACCTCAGCACTATAATTTTAAATAAGGAAAGGTTCAACACATTTTGAAAAATGAAAAAATGCCATTAATAATTGGGAGCCAAATAAAACAGTTATCTGAACAATAGAATATAATCATCCAAGTTATAGAATTTTGAGGAATTCATAGCAAAAAGTGATAAATGGGTTTTAGCATTAAGAGAAATGATAACAATTTGTCAGATAATTTTTTTTAAAAAGGCACCTCCCGATATATTCAAAATAATTATTCTGGCTTTATAGTAAATAAATGAGTTAAATAACTGTTTTCATAAATAATTGTTTTATTTACTTTTAAATAGACAATACCAAAGAAATGAAATATTTACAAATCTTTTGCTTGTTAAAAACCTTATTTTATGCAGAATTTCAAAATGTATTCATAATTCAAACATATTTTATTTAACATAATCTTTTCCATAATCCTTGAATGATGAAAAATACCTGTGTATCTTCTTTCTTCCTGGTGAGAGCAATATATCAATGCTTTTTCCTCTACAATAATCTTTAAAGGTTGCATCCCAGAATAAGAAATGTTTGTGTGCTATTATCCTAGTTTTTCTTTGATTCTGGACTATATTTGTCTGTTTGATTATGCTTCACCCGCTGTTTAAAAATGTTCTTCCCAACATTAGCAAATTTAAAACTGTGTTTAGCTGAGTTGTCTAGCAAATCGTTCTAGGCTAGAGGAAAAAAAAAGACCTATAATGGCTTTTAAAGAAACTATTGAGACCTGTGATAAGCTGGTGTGATGGTGGTGTACTCAATTGGCATGAATACCTTAGTTTTAGATGGGTCAGCTTTAGGGGTCAAGTTGTGAAGAGAAAAGGCATCACACACACTTCATCAACACTGTGGAATGAGAGGCCAGTGCATTTACTGAGCAATAGATTTCCAGTGAGCATATAAACTAATTGGTGGATGAACATGCCCCAGGAGCAATGATTTTAAGGTCATGGCAGGCTCAGTGAATTGTGCTGACTTACACTTGTGCCTCACTGATAGCTGATCTTACCAATGAGCAGTTTAGAGGCATTCAAGCCTGAATGTTCTTCCATGCGCCTTGAATGGCATGTCAGTGGTCACTGTTTCTGACATCTTTTATATTTGTCCAGTCAGCTCTAAATCTTTAGCTTGGGCTCTAGCATATTCAGAAAAGAAAAGAGTGAAGCAATTATTTTTCAGTCATTGAGTTCTGAAGTTCTTTGTGTTAATTATTCCAAATAGAGCTAGTTCATCAACAAACTAGAAATGTTAAAATGAAGAAAAGGGGAAATTGAATGTATACATGTTAATAATAAATAGTATTCTGATTGTAGGGTTGCTTTCCTCTTATTTAAATTTCATGCTAAAAGGAACCTCAGCTTTGAGGATGATTTAAATATACCATAAAGCTATGTAGAAATAGATCATTTAGTATTCTGTCTGCCCTATGCTTTACATAACTATCCATTGCACTTGTATATGCAGACTTAACACAGATTCTTTTATACTGAAGCTGTTTATATAATCGAAAATATATTGAACCCATGCCCTCTCATTGTTAAGATATTTTGGGGTATATCAGGTTTCAACTGCATATATAAAAGTGTATATATTTATATACACTATGTTGCTTAATCCAGATCATTTCATCTGGAAGTATTAAGTGTTACTATCCCAGAACCTGGCAATCAAGATAAAATCTTTTTGGGATGAGTTGTACTCCAAAAGAATATCTTTGTAAATTGGAAATGCTTCTTGACCCCAACATGTCTCTGTCTTCAGAGATAACTAAAATTATAATGAAAATTGTGAGGAAATGTCCAGAAATTTTGTGAATATTTTCCACTAAAAGTAGATCAGGATATTGTTGTACTTCATAAATTATTTCCTTATTACTTGTTTTGTGTAATACCAGCAACTGATTTAATAAATGATAAGTTCATTATTTTAGTAGAAGAAAATTAAACATCTAATTTAAATCAGTGGATCTTGACTCTTAGTGACCATAAAGACAGTTCATCTCATATGAATCATCAGTTATTTTATTTTGTCAATCCATCCATCATTGTGTTAAAATACAGGAATGGTTTATCATTTCAACAATATAAAGCCATATTTTTGCCATTGTTAACTGGAGTGAACATCTGCTTCCAGCATCTTTATATAGCTGCTGTATGATAAAGATATTTGCTTGCTTTAGCTGGGCAGCTGGGATGACCTTCATGTTTGAGTAACTCCGCTGGGTGTACCTACTCTTGAGATACACTCTGAACATTCTTCACTCATGCCTCCTAGGAACACCTCCCTGCCATGATGAGGTAGCAAAGCAGGATCTTAGGGAGGCAATGGACCCTAACAGTTATTATAGTATTTTAAATGGTTATTTGGGGCAAAAAATAAGAATAAAACACAGTGATTGATCAAGCTTGTTTTAATCCTGAATTTCCCATTACGTTCAAACCTATGACTATCACTCAGTTTATATCAGTTTTTAGATAGTTCTAGCTTTATTTTTTTCCAAACAAGTAATGATTAACATAAAATAGTTTAAAAACACAATTATTTGTCTGAACATTGAATGTTCTTGAATTCATGGCCAGACAGAAGATGATGGGCATCTGAGATTCACTATTGCTCATTTTTGCCATGTATAAATAAGATTTAGTATAGTCCTTGAACCTAACTATTTGATTAAAATTCTAATAAGAACATGATCACTCTTTTTAAAAAAGTAACATGTAACCACAGAAAATAAGATAAATTTATTATTAGCATTTACTTCTGTTCTACATACAAGGACACTATATAGAGGTTAAGATTATTTTGGAAGGAAGTGTTTCCTTCTGTATGTTGTGTCATGGAAACTGATTGTGTATAGAGTGTATGAAGATTATTTATGATTTGTCAGATCCATCATGGGGTGGGTGTGATTTTTACTGTGGGATTAAGTGTTCAAAATAGCTGAGCTTTTTGAAAGATAGTTCTTGACTTTCAGTTAATATTCTCAAGATAGAAGTGTAAATTACTTCTTTATACTACAGTGTTAAAAGTTCCTCTATCCACTTGGTGCTGTGACTAACACACCTTATACAATTTATCATCCCATCTTTTTATTCTATCAAAGCAGCACATAGACCGCTAATCCATTAGAAATCCCTGTCCTTATCAGATACTCATGAATGCTTATGCTATAGGGCACAAAGATCATTTTACTTTTATAGATTGCAGGCTATTGGGAGGAAAATGCTTTTCTATTTTCAGATATTCTCCTGGTTTCATAGAAGTTGCATCACTCTTTTTTTCTTCTGGGTTTCCTTTTATGGAAAACAAAAACATTCTTTTTTTCAAAAAAGAGGACTATGTCCTTGCAGCTGTGTATTCTGGTATTTTTTTCAGTGTAATCTCTACCTGTCTCTTCCCCTTTTGTACTTTATTTAGAAGCAATGTAGTTAAATTTCATTAATAGATAATACAAGAAAATATATTTCCCTATCTTTTCCTTTTTATATTAATTTTATTAAAAGCTATAATTTAAAATATAAGAAGAAATATAAACTAAAAACATACTAAAAAGGAAAAATAGTGCAGAAATGAAAAAAATAGAAAGAAAGCCAGAAAAGAAGGGGGGAGAAGAAGAAAAAGAAACTCAGTGCTGTGAAACTTGTTGATCCAAAGGTTCCTAATAGCTGAAAAACAATTAACAAGCAATGTCCAAAAGTGATTAAAAAGTATGCAAACCCAATGTCTTAAAGTCACTAATGTGGACTGAGCAAAATTGTCTATTCCCTTACCTTACAGATATTTAAGCCTGCTGAAGATTGCTCTTAAGTGGCCTCCTCATGAGTAACAACTCTGTGAAGCACTTGTGAACAATCTCAAGTCCTCTCCTTATTTGGAGAAGAACTATGAAGAGCTGGTCTGCTCGCCAGCCCATCATTCTGCCAAAGTTATTGGCTCTTCTCAGTTCGCCGTTTCTTAGCCAGAAGTTAGATAGAAAACTTCTGCGTATTTCCCTGTCTTTGCTAATGCTTTTTTCAGTGTATTTTTATGGTATTGGTATTAGTTGTGTATAAGAGGTCTGAGCACATATTAATGCTTCCTTCAGGAATAAAAGTTGCATAAACTTTGTTGGAAATTAAAAGGTCATCTCATCTGCCTCCTTTCCTACCATCAAAGAACAAGAATTCTCTCAGATAAAGAAGACGCCAGTTCCCCTCATAATAAATCCAAACATATGGAGGAATCTACATATTGGAGGGCAAGGGTGATCTTCCTTTCTGGATTTTACATGTACCTCAGAGACAAAGCCCGGGGCAGGAGTACCTCAATCTCCACAGGAAGGATACACTAAAAACAGCACATACACAAACCATACCCTCAAGCCCACACCACAGATAAAAAGTCTCTGGACCCAATTTTCTCTGTAGTCTACCCCTAAAACAAATCTCTTTATTCTTGGGAATAAATGGATCTCCTTTCTCACAGTATGTCTGGATTTTTTTTTTATTTGTTCTTGTCACTCTGGTTCGTGGAACCCCCAAATTCTTCTTCTAACAATTTAATCATAAATACTTCTCTGGGCATCTTGCATTGTGTCAGGTTCAACTGTTAAGCTAACAGATCAAACAATATATTGGATATCATGTCTTGCTATAAAAGTTGTCAGAAAAATATATCACATCTGATTGTGAATTTCTTTGCTGCTTTTATAGTAATTACAATACTGCCTTGTTTATAAGTTTAGAAGACTTGGTGTATCATATTTTTTTCCCAAACCCAGTTATTGAAATATATTTATATATATATCTCATTCAACCCTTTTGCCATTATATATTTATTTTGTTCTTCTAAGATTAGTTCAGTGTAGTTTATATGAATTACACAATAATTGTATTATTGTTGTATTATTGTGGAAAGCTCCTTAAAGAAGCAATTCTATGAGTTAATCCTTGACTTATGACTACAATTGGAACAGAATTTTCATTGCTAAATAATGAAGCTCTTAAGGGAGTCACACCTTTCTGCCAAGCTTGTTTGTCATTAAACAAACTGCATTACGTAAATCCAGCTTCCTTATTGACTACACTTATCAAAACCCCGGGAAGATCTCAAATAGTGATCACATGACACTGGGGCACTCAATGCCAATTGCCAAATGTCCAAATTTTGACCAAGAAATGCTACAAGGGTTGTAAGTATGAGGACTGTTCATAAATCACTTTTTTTCAGTGCCATCATGACTTCACACAATTATTAAACAAATAGTCGTAGGTCAAGGATTACCTATACAATTTTATACTGGAACAAATCCTACTGAATTCCATGAGAATTTCTTCTCTATAAATCTCATAAAATATCAGAAGTCACATTATTCTAAGTATGTGCATGTTAGAGTAAGCTTCATCACCTGCATATTAGAACTGAAGTAAAATGATGGTGTAATTGCACAGATGTACTGTATTTTATAGGAATTTGCATACTTTGAAGGCAAAGTGATAAACACAGAAAATGTAATTAACTTTATATTAATTTGTTAAGTGTTGTGCATCAGCAAATATAGGTAAGAATTTTTTTCTTTAGAATGAATGAGCACTTCAAAGAGTACTTGTGAATGAATTCTAGTCCCATAGGAATGAAGATACTGCACAATATATATGATTCTTCTAGAGACAGCATATTTCTGAGAGCCAATATATGTGTTTACTGCTCCAAGGGCATCTAGACAATACAAATACTTCACTGTAGACTTTATTTTAAACTACATCATTATAATTCAAGTTGTTGATTCCAAAGAATAGAAAAGATTGATTTATATTTTGAAGTCCTATGAAAAAGATTTTATGGGCAATATTTTCAGTTAGTTCATGCCTATTGTATTGTTTTCTTTGTGACTGACAAAACAGTTATGGTTTCAAAAATTTGAATAATAATTCAAGGTATTCTAACAGTTCTGTAGCTGAATATTTTAGGAAGTGTTTGCATAATTGGAGTATTTTGCAGTGTTTCCACAGTGGGAGATAAGCTAGCATAAACAATAGAATAAGTCCCTTCAGTCCAAATATCCATTTGATATAATTTATGAGGGTTTTTTCCTTCCTGTGTTAAGCTGATTTTTTTGTTTCCTTTCATTGTATACTTAACTTGATCATCTAGTATCAGTCAGCTAAGCAGACCAAAGGAACACTCAATTTCTTTATTAATAGTTAAATTTTCTGATAATGTCCCAGTATGCTGCTTGATAACAAACCCATGCTCAGCATTTCCAGGATCCAGTTATTGAATAAGAGCATTCAAATAATTTATCTGAAAAAAAGAGAGAAGGAAAATGGGGTGGATGTAAATTGTACATGATCCTTCTATCATATATTTAATATTTTCAAAATAGAATTGGAATTAAGAACATGTATGCCGTGTAGCATAACATTTTCTTGTCTCCCTGTCTCCCTAAATACATTA